GATGCTACAGATTCACCTTAACGCTGTTTGTGGTGCATTTTTAAGTGAAGGGATTGGAAACAATTATTATGTTAGAGACTGAGCAAAAACCAGAAATATATTTAAACTTAATCAAATACATCAATGGCTAACTTGATATTTTGCTGTTTTAATACTTTCTCTACAACAGAAAGTTTGCATTCATGACATGAATATGCAACACATATGATACACCCTGTGGAATGAATCTGCAGCTAATGGTACAATAGGGTGATGGAAATTACTTGGTGTAATATTTATAGTCAGAGGGGTTTTTATGTTGGTGCATTGAGCTTTTCAGTTGGCTATAAGCTTCACTCTGAGAAAATCTGATTATTCACCTTTTCCCCTTTGCTCTGTGTGTTTTATATAGAAGGCAAAATGACTATTTTACAGTAAATAGCTGGTATTAGTTTGGTTTGAAGTTAATTGGGGTGATAGTAGAGGATGCCGAGGATAGAGTTAGGTGGAAACAGATGATTCGCTGTGGCGACCCCTAACGGGAACAGCCGAAAGAAGAGGAAGAAGAAGAAAAAGCTGGTATTAGTTTGGACACTCATACAAATTGTTTGCACGTCTAATATCCATTATATACAGTAATGTGGTGTCCTCCAATGACGTTATCACCCTTTCAATCTATTAATCTGCTGCTGTATAAAATGTACATTATAAAAGCTTATAAAAACTCAGTAAAAGGCTGTCTGGTTAAAGAAATATTTTTTACATGGCCTGTTTGCTTGAGAAGTCACCCAGAGGACTGAAAATACAGCTCATACTGTTCTGTTCAGACACTGTATTGTGCAAATTTTATTAAAAAATTCATTATATTTTTAGATTTTAACAAATACAGATGAATATACTGTAAGGCCAATATTTACTTTCCTTTTAGCTCTGTTTTGGTTTCCACCCACTACTGAAGAAATATCTGGCTTTTTACAACCCATGTCCCCCAGCAAAATGTATAATAGTTACAGTATGTTGGTCCACAACACAAAACGTACTACTCACAATAACACCTGGAATATTGTGACATTGCAACATTTTTCTCAATCAAAAACTGAAACCTAAGTATGACTATGTTTAAGCTTAGAAACTACTCTACATGGTTAAGTTTAAGCACACAAACTAGATGGTTAAGGTTAGGAAAAGCCCCTGTGGGCTGTTAAAACACTTTTAAACACTTAAAACACAGCATTGGGCGTGGGGCACAGTCTCTAGTTCTCTGCATGAAAGTCAGGTGTTTGTTTGACCCAACCATCTGTCCCAACCGCCACCTCCTACTGTTTTTAACATTATAAAGTTCAAAACCACACACCTTCAACGGACATTACATGTTGGCTTTTTGATCCAAACTCCAGTCCAGTTAGTGATGGTAAGGCACCATTTACTTGTTTGACAGCTGCCAGAAAACACTATGAAGACCACAAAGAAGCACAACAGGCTGCAATACAACAACTGCTGCCACAATTTTACAGCCCTTTTTGTGACACTGCTACTGTATGTTCCATGCTTTGGACCAATGTAGCTATTATACGTTTTGTTGTGAGACTGGGCTGCTTTTTAGCTGCTAATAACTCCATGTTTCATCAGCTGGACCCAAACAGAGTTGTTGGGCCTGATATGAGTCAGATCAGTCATCTGTCTATTTACCTTAATAAAAGTGAATACTACTGCAGGAAACAAGGTTGATGAAAGTGGTGAACAGGCTCCACAAAGCTGCATAGCTGGGTGGTGATTTGCTTTTGGGTTGTCACTACAAACAAAACCTTTCACATTATACACATTTGACACACTGTTAGCATAAAAATATCAATAAGTGCAACTTTAAGTTGATTACTGAAAGCTGTTAAAGTACAAGTTATAACCTTCTGTATGACTTAGCTGGGATGCTCAGAGACAGCATACTGATAAGATAAAATAAATTGAGATAGCTGTTTATAAGTTGAACATTAACGTGTTCAATATCAGCAGCTTATTCAAGTTTACAGTGATATGGGCCTGATATTGGCCTGCACTGGGCCTCATACTGCTATTCCACCTCAGATATTGCATTGTTTTCCACTGACATCTTAATGTACTCCATGGCCCCCCACCTGCAGCCCATTCAGTGGCAAGAGATGATGTTGTTATCAGCACTGAGGGCTGAGTGTGCATTCCTCTTCCTGAAGATATTATCTGTGCCATTCTCTGCAGACAACCAGAGAAAGGAAAAAATGATAGCAGCAGAGGGGTGGGAAACTATTCTTTTTGACACCATCTCAACTCAGCGCTCCTTATCACTCCCATTTGCTGCTGAGCCAGACGATTACCAGAGCAGCTTTATTCACACAGCCTCGACACTCAGTTAGTCTCCCACACCCACTTGCTCTGTTAGCACTCAGTGCCAGGGAACCATGGCACAGGCATGAGAGCAGGAAAATTGAGTTGACTGACATCAACAGATCAAAGTTCACTGTGTTCACTAAGTGCTCCAGTGTTTTGCACTTTTATCTTAAGTCAAGCTGTATGAATGGATACAGATGTCGATGACTACCGGTGTGGTGCAGTGGTATTATTATAAGATCAGGTACACCATATCATCCTTCCTGCAGGACCTAGTGCCAGACTGCTGTTGTGCTCTTCTTACAAGCCACTGTTCTGATCAGATTCTTGGAGAGCCACTGTTCTCCATGTCTACCCCTTGAGAACTGCTTTTAAAAGCAGGTCCTCCAATCTATGCAACCCATATGGTAATTTGTTCCTTCTCTCTCATATGACCCATAGGAGCATCTCCTGAAATAACGCTCTTGCACTGGCAAATGAAATTGCAAGAACTCCACTGACAACATACAATATGTTGCACCGACAAGTTTTAGGGGCTGTCAATATCTTGGAAAAGGTCATAAAGGCAAAAATACTAGAAATTTGTCATCATGCAAACTATCATAAATATTTGTTATGATTATGAAACTGTCAAGGTTTCATTGCATTTAGGTACAGAAACTACTTGGTTAGGCTTTTGGAACAAACAGTTGGTTTCAGGACAAAAACAACCTGGTTAGGTAAAAAAGGAACTGAACATTACTCACCTTATCCCAAATTCCTCCTGATGTAGAGTTTATGACTAAATAATACAGTACCTAACTTCATCCTTTGCTCATCTTATACTGTAACCTCTGCACCCACTAGAGGTTGTCAAGCTATAATGCATAACTCGGTCATAATAACCTGCTGACACAAATAACAAACATATATTGTAGAGTCACTACAGGAAGACACTCAGGAGGTGTCAGGTTTGCCCGGCTGTACCTGCCTCTCTCACTTCTCTCCCTCTATTTTAGCTCCCTTACCCCTGATTTCTTTATCTGACACACCTGCTTCACATCCTATTTGTGTAATCAAGTCTCCGTATAAATGCACCTGCACTGTGATAGTCTCAGAAGTCCGTTTAAAGCGCAGAGAGCATCATGAAGAACAAGGAACACACCAGGCAGGTCCGAGATACTGTTGTGGAGAAGTTTAAAGCCGGATTTGGATACAAAAAGAGTTCCCAAGCTTTAAACATCCCAAGGAGCACTGTGCAAGCAATAATATTGAAATGGAAGGAGGATCATACCACTGCAAATCTACCAAGACCTGGCCATCCCTCTAAACTTTCAGCTCATACAAGGAGAAGACTGATCAGAGATGCAGCCAAGAGGCCCATGATCACTCGGGATTAACTGCAGAGATCTACAGCTGAGGTCGGAGACTCTGTCCATAGGACAACAATCAGTCATATACTGCACAAATCTGGCCTTTATGGAAGAGTGGCAAGAAGAAAGCCATTTCTTAAAGATATCCATAAAAAGTGTCGTTTAAAGTGTGCCACAAGCCACCTGGGAGACACACCAAACATGTGGAAGAAGGTGCTCTGGTCAGATGAAACCAAAATCGAACTTGTTGGCAACAATGCAAAACGTTATGTTTGGCGTAAAAGCAACACAGCTCATCACCCTGAACACACCATCCCCACTGTCAAACATAGTGGTGGCAGCATCATGGTTTGGGCCTGCTCTTCTTCAGCAGGGACAGGGAAGATGGTCAAAATTGATGGGAAGATGGATGGAGCCAAATACAGGACCATTCTGGAAGGAAACCTGATGGAGTCTGCAAAAGACCTGAGACTGGGACGGAGATTTGTCTTCCAACAAGACAATGATCCAAAACATAAAGCAAAATCTACAATGGAATGGTTCACAAATAAACATATCCAGGTGTTAGAATGGCCAAGTCAAAGTCCAGACCTGAATCCAATCGAGAATCTGTGGAAAGAACTGAAAACTGCTGTTCACAAACGCTCTCCATCCAACCTCACTGAGCTCAAGCTGTTTTGCAAGGAGGAATGGGCAAAAATTTCAGTCTCTCGATGTGCAAAACTGATAGAGACATACCCCAAGCGACTTACAGCTGTAATCGCAGCAAAAGGTGGCGCTACAAAGTATTAACTTAAGGGGGCTGAATAATTTTGCACGCCCAATTTTTCAGTTTTTTATTTGTTAAAAAAGTTTGAAATATCCAATAAATTTCATTCCACTTCATGATTGTGTCCCACTTGTTGTTGATTCTTCACAAAAAATTACAGTTTTATATCTTTATGTTTGAAGCCTGAAATGTGGCAAAAGGTTGCAAAGTTCAAGGGGGCCGAATACTTTCACAAGGCACTGTATCTGCTGCGCAGCATCGAGCTGATTAACTTTATCTCTCATCTCTTTAAGTTGTACTTTTGTCAGCTGTGCTTGTAAAGATGAGATTTCCTGTTCCTCTTCTTCTCTATCTTCTTTATCCTTGTCAGCATACTGCATAATATGAGCTGCCCACTGCTCAAACGGGAGGGCACGCGGTGAAAAAAGCCTGGAGCTACACTGTGTGTTTTTGAGTACTGGCAGATATTTAGTGATAGAAATGCACTTTATTTAGACTTTAAAGTTATTAATTGTACTGGACATTGGTGCACTTCATTGTATTTGATTGTGTGTTTTGTATGACTTGCAAAAGATTTAATAAAAGTAATCTGGATAAAGACATGCGTACTCCTGTCATCATTGCTCATACACTCTACCTTTTCCATTCCTTTTGTTATTGCTGTCACCGTGCCGGGGACCCTTAACAGTGGCATATATAAGCATAGAGACACACACCTTCACAGGGACAATTTAGAGTCTTCAATCAATCTAAGCTGCATGTCTTTGGACTGTGGGAGGAAACCGGAGCGCCCGGAGGAAACCCACGCAGGCACAGGGAGAACATGCAGACTCCGCACAGAAAGGCTCGAACCCAGAACCTTCTTGCTGTGAGGCAACAGCGCTAACCACCGTGCCACTGTGCTGCCTTTTGGTGATTTTTGTACATGAAAATGTCATTTTTTTCTGAAGGTAAAGCATTTGGAGATGGCTCTACCCACAGAGGAGAAGAATGTGGAGATGGTGTGAGGCTTTGGTGCTGTCAGGTATTTTCTGATAGAAGAGGCTATGCTTTTTCCAACTTCTGGGCCCTTTGAATACATTGCAATCAGTAGAAAGTCTGGACAGCCCCAGCTCTTACATAGGTCCTTGTAAATAGTTTTTCTCAGGATTTTTAAAGTTCCTGGGGCTACATCAATACATGAGTACTCCTGTCATACACTCTACCTTTTCCATTCCTTTTGTTATTGCTGTCACCGTGCCGGGGACCCTTAACAGTGGCATATATAAGCATAGAGACACACACCTTCACAGGGACAATTTAGAGTCTTCAATCAATCTAAGCTGCATGTCTTTGGACTGTGGGAGGAAACCGGAGCGCCCGGAGGAAACCCACGCAGGCACAGGGAGAACATGCAGACTCCGCACAGAAAGGCTCGAACCCAGAACCTTCTTGCTGTGAGGCAACAGCGCTAACCACCGTGCCACTGTGCTGCCTTTTGGTGATTTTTGTACATGAAAATGTCATTTTTTTCTGAAGGTAAAGCATTTGGAGATGGCTCTACCCACAGAGGAGAAGAATGTGGAGATGGTGCGAGGCTTTGGTGCTGTCAGGTACTTTCTGATAGAAGAGGCTATGCTTTTTCCAACTTCTGGGCCCTTTGAATACATTGCAATCAGTAGAAAGTCTGGACAGCCCCAGCTCTTACATAGGTCCTTGTAAATAGTTTTTCTCAGGATTTTTAAAGTTCCTGGGGCTACATCAATACATGAGTACTCCTGTCATACACTCTACCTTTTCCATTCCTTTTGTTATTGCTGTCACCGTGCCGGGGACCCTTAACAGTGGCATATATAAGCATAGAGACACACACCTTCACAGGGACAATTTAGAGTCTTCAATCAATCTAAGCTGCATGTCTTTGGACTGTGGGAGGAAACCGGAGCGCCCGGAGGAAACCCACGCAGGCACAGGGAGAACATGCAGACTCCGCACAGAAAGGCTCGAACCCAGAACCTTCTTGCTGTGAGGCAACAGCGCTAACCACCGTGCCACTGTGCTGCCTTTTGGTGATTTTTGTACATGAAAATGTCATTTTTTTCTGAAGGTAAAGCATTTGGAGATGGCTCTACCCACAGAGGAGAAGAATGTGGAGATGGTGCGAGGCTTTGGTGCTGTCAGGTACTTTCTGATAGAAGAGGCTATGCTTTTTCCAACTTCTGGGCCCTTTGAATACATTGCAATCAGTAGAAAGTCTGGACAGCCCCAGCTCTTACATAGGTCCTTGTAAATAGTTTTTCTCAGGATTTTTAAAGTTCCTGGGGCTACATCAATACATGAGTACTCCTGTCATACACTCTACCTTTTCCATTCCTTTTGTTATTGCTGTCACCGTGCCGGGGACCCTTAACAGTGGCATATATAAGCATAGAGACACACACCTTCACAGGGACAATTTAGAGTCTTCAATCAATCTAAGCTGCATGTCTTTGGACTGTGGGAGGAAACCGGAGCGCCCGGAGGAAACCCACGCAGGCACAGGGAGAACATGCAGACTCCGCACAGAAAGGCTCGAACCCAGAACCTTCTTGCTGTGAGGCAACAGCGCTAACCACCGTGCCACTGTGCTGCCTTTTGGTGATTTTTGTACATGAAAATGTCATTTTTTTCTGAAGGTAAAGCATTTGGAGATGGCTCTACCCACAGAGGAGAAGAATGTGGAGATGGTGCGAGGCTTTGGTGCTGTCAGGTACTTTCTGATAGAAGAGGCTATGCTTTTTCCAACTTCTGGGCCCTTTGAATACATTGCAATCAGTAGAAAGTCTGGACAGCCCCAGCTCTTACATAGGTCCTTGTAAATAGTTTTTCTCAGGATTTTTAAAGTTCCTGGGGCTACATCAATACATGAGTACTCCTGTCATACACTCTACCTTTTCCATTCCTTTTGTTATTGCTGTCACCGTGCCGGGGACCCTTAACAGTGGCATATATAAGCATAGAGACACACACCTTCACAGGGACAATTTAGAGTCTTCAATCAATCTAAGCTGCATGTCTTTGGACTGTGGGAGGAAACCGGAGCGCCCGGAGGAAACCCACGCAGGCACAGGCAAACCAGTCTCCTCCAGTCCCCTCTGTCCACCACCGGCTCCACCTCCTCCTGCCCTGGAGGTGGATGGTGGCCCTGCATACACCATCACGCAGATCCTGGAGGTCTGCCCTAGGGGCCGGGGTTTCCAATATCTGGTAGACTGGGAGGGTTATGGTCCGGAGGAGCGGTCCTGGATTCACCGAATCCTTTATTTTAGATTCTGCCCTTCTCACCTCCTTCTATCAAGCACACCCAGACAAACCTGGGGGGCGCCGGTGAGTCCCTCCTTCCGGTGGTCCCCGCCTCCCTCCCTGGGATGGTGGTTTGGCTGTCTGGGATCCATCCTTGGTTCACGTCCCCTGAATCACCACCAGCTGCACCTGATTAGTTTCCTCCTATTTATACCGTGCTCATTGTCCACTTCCCTGCCAGTTCTTTCCATACTCTAGCCCGTTTCTATGCCAATCATTTATTTTGTCTACTATATGTATTTTCTCACGCTCTTCATCCCAGCTTCGTTCCTGCCTTGTGCCCTGTGTCTTATCTTCCCAGCCACTATCGCTTCTCCGGACCACAGACCTCCTCAACTCCACATTACTCCACCACGCAGGTCGATGCACAGTCTCCCATTAACTGTTTCTCTGACTTTGTCCCTCAGCAACCAACCACCACGACCAGTCCAAGAGTGAATCCTAGCGTCCGCAGCCCGGCCTCCTCCTTATCATCTCATCACTGACTGTATATTTTCCATGACTGACGCTCGACACCCGGTTCTGCTTCGTATTCCTTCACCTGGTTGTACACATATTTATTGTCACTGTAAATAAATAGAGCATCTGTTGCTTGTCTGCCGAAAAGCAAGCAGGAACCAAGAATGAACCGCTTTACTGCATGCTGGGCAGAAAGAGTATTATAGTGGATTAGCAGCGTGTATAAAGTTTGTTGTAGTACAGTATAGTGTTGTCTGCAGCACACTTGGTGTGTCTTTTTCAGGATGAGGCATATTATAATTGTCAAAAGAACAGCCATTTTAGTCTTCTAATTTTTATTGTAATTCTAATATTTTTAGGCTCTGATTTTTTTATTCAGGGCTGTATTGAAATGGGGTTGGATGTTTTTGAATTCATGAAAGTATTTATCTTATAATGGCCCTTTATGCACCATCTCTTTTCACCCTTTAACTGAAATGGTCTGTCTTAGATCCTGTTTTTTAAAGCCCCCCTTACAGAAAATCCCAGTTTGCTCTGATTGGTCAGCTCCCACAGCTCTGAGCATCCACAGTATTAGCAGACCATTTTCACATTATGTCAGAAATGTTCCTTGCCCCTGCCAATGGGGTATCCTCATTTTGTTCACCCAGTCTAAAGCAGCTGCCATCGATATGAATGGATGATATTAAACAAGTCGTGGATATGTTCTCACTGTGCTACTGTTAGTGGTTACTGGCCTCCCTTTTAAGAGTTTATGGGTAATGTGTTTGTGACATGGGAGAAGCTAATAATAGCTGGCAGTGATGTATATACATGATACTATGGGTTGAAAAGCTTACAGTAGTTAGCTATAAAGTGTCTGGATAAACTTGCAGTGCAGTATACAAAAAATAAGAGGCCAGATATTATGTTTGCTGAGCCAAGGCAGAACAATGTGCCTGTTCAAGCAAAGTTATCTCTGTCTCCCTCTTCCCTTCACCACCACCAAGACCTACAACGTATTTGGAACAAATACATTTCGAAGGAAGTGTAATTGTGATGAGGTGAAGAGGTGAGTGCAGGCGGGTTGGAGTGGGTGGACAAAGGTGTCAGGAGTGTTGTGTGACAGAAGAGTGGCAGCAAGAATCAAAGGAAAGGTGTACAAGACAGTAGTGAGACCAGCTATGCTGTATGGGTTAGAGACTGTAGCAGTGAGGAAAAGACAATTTCTTTCATTTTCTTCCTGCTTTTGCCAGTTTCTCTCACTCTCATGTCATTTCAGACCCTTCCACTCCCACCTGCTGTTTATTTTCCTGCTCCTACTGTCTGCTCCGTTCTGTTCTGCTCACACTCACCTGCTTCCTATCACCCAGTCACTATACAAGCCAGAAATCGCCATTCATTCGTTGCTACATTCTGATGTGCTTAATGTAACTTTTGTTCTTTGTAGTCTCTGTTATTCTGCCCTCCATGTGTTTTTTGTGTTTTCTCATGTGTGGACTGCTTTGATTTTGAACATCACCTGCCTTTGGACTTTGCCTTTTGTCTTACCCCTGGATCTGCTGTTAGACCTGTACTGTGTACATGACTGATCCTGTTCTGGACCCGCTCCCATACTTGGCATTTTCATTTTACCTGCATGCAGAAGTGTGAAGTGTAGGACCTCTAGACTGAAAAACTCTTTCTATCCCTCTGCCATCAGACTCCTAAACAGCTGAGGAGTTTATTACCAGGAAATACGTCATGTACTGTTTACATTCTCAGTTTGCACATGCATAATTGCACATTGACTGTTGAGTGCTGCACATGCTGCTCCCATGCAGCATACATTCTCTTATTATATTCTTATATATTTTTACTATATTGCTGCATTTGCTGCTTAAAGTGCCTTAGATTTTGTGTTACTTATTTATCTATTTTATATTTCATTTGTATTTTGTGGCATTCATGTGGACGGCAAAGTAAGAATTTCATTGTACAGGGAAACACGTTTCCTAGCTGTGTATATGACAAATAAGCACTTTGACCTTGACCTTGACCTTGCCTGTCTTGTGTGTATTCTGCATTTGGATCCTATACTGAATGAACCAGAGTCGCCTGCTCCCCTGTCACCTCAGAGTTGAGGAAGGTGTTCAACAC